CTCCCAGAATTCCCCAGCCAGCCATGCTCTGGGAGTTGAAGTCCACACAGCTTAAAGCAGCCAAGGTTGAAAAACACGTAGATAATAAGAGGCAAGTGATACACATGTGTCTGTCTATACGTATGTGCGTGCTGTAAACATGAATGACATTTTGACATGGGTAGACTTTGCCTAGATTTTGCAAAGTCAGGATTAGGTTGGTTTAAGACAGGAGTGTGTAACTTTTTTCACACGAAGGGGTACAACTTGGCCTTTGAGTGGTACACTGAAGAACTGTAATGGTATGTGGGAATGACCTTGGGAGACAGGAGGAAGAGCCGCAGACTGGACAGCCAGTGTGTAAAAGTTATCTCAGCCCACAGAAGGAGGGAGGGCATGGGAAGCATTTCAGAAGGAACTCTCATTAGTTTTCCAGAGAGTAAATGGAAAGGAGGGGAGAAATACTTTCAGTCTTGCAAGATTCTGTTAATGTAACCTTACAGTAAAGACAGAGGTAGTACTCCTGCTTGTGCTTCATGTCTGGACTACCTTGAAGGGCTAACAAGAACACTCTCCAAAATGAATTTCCTTTCATTTTGAATTAAGTTAAGTGCAGTTACTATGGTATCCCCTATATTCAATATTGTTTTCTCTAAGTTTAAAAATTACTAAGCAGTGGCTGCTTTTGAAAAGGCTTAAACGGCCACTGACTATACCTCTCTGGGTTCAGAGGAAAGGAAGATGGAAGACAGAAAGACAATGTTTAGTCATCAAGAAGAATTGATAAATAAATATCTTCTCTTTCTAGAGCACCGAGTCTTGATGGAGGCTGCGTTTGTTTATGGCTCTGTTAAGTTTGCCTTAACTACTGAAGTGGCACTTCTGAAGAACATTCGGTATGCGTTCCTAAGAATATAAGAGCCAGTGTGCATCAGATCAACGTCTTTAGGCTAGCCTTAAATGTCACACAGTGGCCAACCAGGAAATTCATAAACAGAACACAAGAGTGATAGCCTAATCCTCCTAAGATGGAACAAATTCTGCTTTGGTTACTGTTATGGCTGGATTTAGGGCTTCAGTTGAGAATAGGCAGAGATGCTAGAAGGGAGTGGTGAATAACTGGGTTGCAGTTTTGTGGATCTGTTAGAAATGCAGGTGTCAGTTAAGGAGTTGAGGCTTTGATACAGGAAGCTGTTTGGGGCAGATATCAAAGATGGCCTTTCACATATGGCAGAAGGCTTATTTCTTGTTTGCCTTCCATCCCATACCTAGAATAGCCACAAACTGGGAAGTCCCAAATGAAGCCAGCTCATTTTTTGGTTTGTGTTTTCTTACCTCAGCAGTGGAGAACCAGATGTACCATCTTCAAAACTCTTCTTTTGCCACTGTAAGGTGGCCGTGGATCCAGGACAGCCATGCCATAGGACTCCTATGGAGCAGCCATTGACCACATTAAGCATCCACAAGTTCCTGAAGCTGATGGGGGAACCCCTGGTGGTAGGTGAATAATAGCCATGACTTCTTTCTGACTTTCCTCCTGTGTTCTGGATTCACTTCAAAGCATATCAGAGCAGAATTGCATCAAGCAGGCTAGTGGAATCTATGGAAATGTTAAAGGAACTGGGAAAACTCCTGTTGCTTTTTAAGACAAAAAGGAAATTGAAAGTATATGCAACACTTGTTTTTAGCACACGTGACAGACGTAGAAATAAATAAATATATGCTGCCACCTACATCGTTCACAGTGTTTTGTAGCTGAGTGAAGCAAAACAAAGCACTGGTAGCCATTGTGGAAATTGTTCTGTAGTCGGACACAGAAAAGGAGCTTTGTTGATATATCACTAAACAGAATCAGCTGATTTCCCACACTGTTCATAAAATGTTACTGTCAGACCTCTCACAGCAGGGCGTGATCAAGGAAGCAAGAATGACACAGACTTCTAAAATGCAATGATTTGAGATAGAATACAGAATCCTGCAAATTGCAGTAGGAACCTCCACCCCTTTGTTACTAGTTCATTAAGGTGATCTCTTTGAACAAGTTCAATATTTTCTTCCTAGGTAATGGCAAACTGGGTTGAGCTGTTGTTATTGAGATAAACTACTAATTCACCCCTCTCCCATCTGTGAATTGTTTATGGCTAGCATTCCTCCTGTTCCTTTCCCAGCCTTCTCACAATCTCTCACAATTACTATTAAATAAAAGTTTTAATTGTTTATAATCAGTTGATCTTCTGAGTAAATGAGCCACAGGAATATAATACCTCCCCCATGTCTAAGATACTATACTAGGAGGAAAAGTTTAAAGCCCTACAGGGCATGGGTCCAGGTTACCTGAGGGACCGTCTCACCCCCATCATCAACCCATCCCACCCGGTTAGGCAGAGAGAACATGTTGCGGAACCCGTCAGCAAGAGGATGCTGGCTGGCAGGGCCCAGGAGGAAAGCCTTCTCTGCCGTTGCCCCCACCCTTTGGAATATTCTCCCCCCAGAGGTGCGACAGGCCCCTACCCTCCCGGCTTCTGCATGGAGCGATATGGGCTCTAACAGTCCTTGGGGGTGGTTAGCACCCTGATGATGCTCCCTTGAATTATTCCCCAACTTTCCACCTTGCTTGGAAGTTATTTATTGTTAGGTCTGTTTTATATTGTATTTTAATGAATTTTATTTTTGCTGTAAACTGCCCAGAGTCGTTTCAACAAGATGGGCAGTGACAAATTTGATAAATAAATAAAATAAATAAATAGAAAAGCTTTCATTTATGTCGTTCATGTCAAGCTGTGGAATGTGCTTAGAAAAGTGGGGATCCCAGAACATCTCATTGCCCTCATGAAAAACCTATATACAGTTTAGGAAGCCACAGCACGGACAGAACATGGCAAACCAGATTGGTTCCAGATTGGCAAAAGACTGAGACAAGGGTGCATAATCTCCCCTTATTTATTCAACCTATAAGCTATATATGTATTAAGGGAAGCTGGATTGGAAGAAGATAAGTGTGGTTTTAAAATTAGAGGAAGAAACATCAATTACCTGTGCTATGCTGATGGAACTGCTCTGGAAAATGGAAAGGATCTGTAAGCTCTAATAATAAAAGTCAAGGAACACAGTGAAAAAAATGGGACTAAAATTAAATATAAAGAAGACCAAACTAATGACAACAGGTAGAACAACTAGCCTTAGAATTGACAGTGAAGATATCGAAGTGGTGGATAGCTTCTACTTTTTAGGATCAACCATCAACAGTAAATGTACAAACAGTCAAGAAATATGCTGCAGACTAGCACTTGGTAGAGCAGCCATGAAGTCCTTGGAAGAGTTATGCAAATGCCGTGATGTGTCTATATTTACAAAGATCAGAATCATGCAAGCCATGGTATTCCCTGTGACACTCTATGGAAGCGTAAGTTGGACTTTGAAGAACTAAGATAGGAAGAGTATTGACAGAGAAGTTTGGTGTTGGAGAAGACTCCTGAGAATACCATGGACAGCGAAGAAAACAAACAAATGGATCACCAAACAAATCAACCCAGAGTTCTTACTTGAGGCACAAATGGTCAGACTCAGATTATCCTACTTCAGACACATTATGCAAAGACCCAGCTCTCTGGAGAAGGCTCTAATGCTGGGAAAGGTGAAAGAAAGAAAAGAAGAGGATGACCAGCAGCAAGGTGGATGGACTTAGTTGCAGTGGCGATGGGTGCGCTGTTAGAAGACCTGAAAGACCAGGTTAGGGACAGATTGTCATGGACAAAATCTATGTGGTTGCAAAGAGTTGACACCAGCTTGATGGCACATAATGAATCAAGCAGTGTATCCCCCAAGTAAACAAGTAAATATATCCTGTTTCACCACACTTAGCAGTTTTTGAAAGAGAACTATTTATGGTTATTTTTAGCAATTAGCACAGAATATCAAAGAGGTATTTGGCGTGCATTCTGGGTCCAGGGCTCACTTTCTAAAAACATATTTTGCTGCTCTCAGTGCTATGATCAGATTAAAATTAGCCCAGTCTATATCCTAAAATGGCCTCCTTTTTCCCTAAATAGTGGAAAAAATCATATTTTGGCCTCATCAATTAGTAACAGAACCAAGGTCCAAAATAATACAGCATCCTTTGCTTCCCAGAAAAAAATCAGTCTGGCAAAGGAAGATAAATTTGGCCCCCACCAGTCATCTTCCCCACAAGCAAGCTGCAGTTGCAGGGAGATTTGCCTTGCCTTGCCTTCCCTTCCAGAAAAAATACCTATTAGAAACTAAACCAACCATCCATATAGCTGCTGCTATGGAGGGGTTTGTCCTGCCCGTTTCTTTTCCTTCTGTATCATGTCTTATTTGATGGTCCACCTGCAGCACATCTCAGTTGATCTTTTGTGCCGGTGTTCCTTCTCCAGGTGGAGGTTACAGAAGATCCTGACAAGGTTTCAACTACTCATCTCCAGCTTGGCCTACCACTGATTTTCATTCTGAGCCAGGAAGAGACCTTGGAAGCTGACAAGAGCATTGCTGAATTTGTGGCCTGGCAGTTGCTGGGGAAAGCAGGAGTCCTCCTCTTGTCAAGGTCCCTTTGAATGGGTGTAATTAAAAAGTGGGGAGGGAGAGGAAAGGGGAGGGTTTATCTCATCACTGTCCTTACTTCAGTATAATTCTTGAGGTTGGAAATTCCCAAAGACTCACAGGAAGTGCCAGGGCCAAAAAAATCAAAGAGTCAGGTGCAACTGCATGATTGAACCTTCCCCCCCCCCACACCTTTTAATGCGGATATGATGAATCACACACACACACGCACATGTAATGGATGAAGATGGGGCTTTGATTGTGCAGTTGTGACTGCCATCTTGATTTTTTTGCCCCCAACCATCCCAACCCCCACAGATACCCCTGGGAAGATTCAGAGGAGGGGCTTTCTTCCAAGCACACGTGCCTAAGGTTGCAGCCTATTCTTTTGCTTAAGACAGTGTTTATCAGCTTTAGCAACTTTAAGTTGTGTGGACTTCAACTCTCAGAATTCCACACATCTTAAAGTTGCCACAGTTGAGAAACACTGGCTTAGGAAATTAACCTGGGTGCCTGAATCTTAATTGTATCCCTTCCCAAACTGATGTCTGCCAGAAGTGTTCGATTGCAGCTCTCATTATTCCTAGCAAATAGGATTGATTGCACTGAAACAGGTTATAGGTAGGCAGATATTCCTGGGGCAATGCTTGTTCCATTGATTAAACAACATCACCAATACAAGATCTTGTCAACCTAGATAGGAAGGAGTAAAGATGTCTCCCAAGATGAGAGCTATGCTGAGCCAAATAAAAGATTAATTCTGCAAGAGCTGAATATGCTTGCTTATCTTTCATAGTTTGATCAGTTTGTAGTTAAGCTTGGAGAGGAGGAAAAGTTATTGTGTAAATAATTTGCTTATTGAAATCTTATTTGTGAGCCACAGCCTTTGCTAACCATTGCCTATATGACTGAAAGCCTTTAAACCTGTGAACATTTGCTATAAAAATGAACGTGAGATACCGAAATGTGCAGCCAATTTCGTTTGGGCCTTTGTGGCTTCTGTTTGTGAAATAATTGTAATATTGTTTGGGCCTACAATTGGCTAGAAGTTGCTGAACGACAACTTCCAGCATCCCTTACCTTAGCCAGTACTTCCAAAGGCTGCTGGGAGTTGAAATTCAGCCACTTCCGGCGTGCCACAAATTGCCCACTGAAGGATAGCTGCAATATGGCAAGAACTACCAGGTGGCGCTACAATACAGCCATTGAGAGTTTTGCTTATAACTTTGGCAAAATGTTTGCAAGGAATATAAAATGAACCAGATAATAAATGTAGCTGCACCAGGCAGAATCCACATCTGCTTTTCTTTCTAATTGCAGCTTAGTGAGAGATTATACACCTTACTTGGTGTGAGGGGGAACGGCGGGCAGAAGGTTTTGCTGGACCCTTGTGGGCTATGCTAGGACCATACTTCCAAAAGTAGTGGGAGAGGACAGGACACAAAATACATTTGATTTCATGTATATCTCAACTTAAATCAACTTAAAATAATTAACATGATCATTCTACAGTACGGTCATGCATGTATGGATGCAGGGGTGGTGGTGCATAGGTTTCTCAACCTAAACAAGGGAAAGGTTCAGCTTCTTCAACTTCCATGTGGTTCTGTGCCATTCAGGCTGGCGCTTTACTAATGTTGAAGTTTACTTGGATTCTGTTATGTATACACAGTTGTCTAATGTGCAATTTGATCCTCAGGCATTGCTTGAAAGAAGCAAGTAAAAGCAACATGAAAAGATTCTTTTTATAAAGCAGGTAACCCTTGATGCCATGACTGGATTTCCCAGTGAAGTCTAATGCTAGCTACCTTTTGCTATCTTTATGTACATATGTTGTAATCTAGGGGAGAGCTTTCATGTATTTTCTTAGAGTTTTGTTGGAAATACTCTTGGCAGAACCGTAAAACTCGGAGTTGTACCTGGGCTCATGAGAATTTGATCTCAGACCCAGGAGGAAATTTGTCATATTTCATATGTCAGATGAGAGAAATTTAGAGGTTATGGGCAAGAGGATTGAGAGAGGCAGTCAAGCAAAATAACTAGGACAAGAAAAAGCTGAACTTCATACATTAATTTTAACAAGCTGGTTAATGCTTTGGCTGCAGGTTTGTAGATAAGACCATCACCTCCCCCTTATATCTATAAACATGGATAACAAGCACATCAGGGCAAAAGGATTTTAGTTTAATCTTCTTGAGGTGCTAGATTTTTTTCATGGAGCATTTGTTTTTGTACAGAGAAGTACTGAGTACTGTGAACACAAATGTGCAGTCTGATACAATATTGCTCACTTATCTCCCTGAGAATATTGCAAAAAAAAAAAAAAGCTGTCGTAATTCTCTACATATTGTGTTCCATAATTTAAACTGTTACTTATGTCTTGAAAGGAATTCTGTTGGTCTGGATATTCCTTCCCGATATAATGTGGCTATCAAGACAGTTGAGGAGGTAAGTGGTCATAGTTAATATTTTGGACTGACTTTTTAATTTACTGTGCAGTCCTAGGCTTGTCTGTTGAAAAGGAAATGCTCCTGAGTCAAATAAAGCTTACCTCCAGACTTATGCACATAAAATTTGCAGTCTTAGCTGTTCTGAGGCATGAAGTGTATACTAGTAATGTATTTTTTATTGGTGATGATAACCTTAGAATGTTTCCAGACAGCTCTTAACAGTGTCAATCAAAATGCACTGTCCATCTAATATTAAGACCTAAAGATTTGACCTGAAGACCAACGTTCAATAGGAGAAACCCCATTTGTCATGGTATAAGGACCATAGTAATTCCTGTGCCTTACCTCAGCACCCTTCTGAGTCTGTGGGGTGCTGAACAATTGAGTTACCAGTAGAAATCTGGACTGTCCTTTATATCCCAATTTGGGCCACATATTTATTTTGCATCTCTGCAGGATATGCCTGTTAAATACCTGATTTTGAAAGATGCAGATGAAATTGTAGCGTTGGTGAAAAATGGTGAGCAGAGCAAACCTCATCTGGATAATGAAGAGGAAGTTTATGAAGAGGAAGAGGAGGGAGTTGAGAATGAGAACAATGAACAAGGTAATTAAGATTCTCAGAGGTGTCTTTGACCTATTAAGTTTTCAAGAAATTTGTTTCTTTGCTTCCCCATTAAAAAAAAAACCCTAGAAAAAATTATTCTTCCCATTTTGTTCACTAGCCTGTCTCATACACATTTCAGTGCCATTCTTCTATGTCTTGATAGTTAAAATAACACACTCAAAATGCTGATTTTGACAAAATTTCCTTTGCTGGTAACCTGGATGGATTCCATACTCAGAGATGAGCAGATTATTTACATGCTTGTTTTACAGTCATACTATTTCTATGTAATACTATACATTGGCCCAGCTAGAGGGCAGCACATAGTCAATCTTGGCTGGTTGTAAAAAGCTAACTAGGGTTGGTAGTTGCATCAGAGGCCACCAGCACTTGCTGGAAAGCAAAGCAGCAACTTCCAAATTGTTTGTTCCCCAGAATTCCCTTGGATTCCTCACAGGGCCTGGAGGTATTCTTAAAAAATAAAAATGTTAAGTAGCTGCAGCCCAGCATTTTGTTAGCAAATGTGCCCAGTGGTGGCTCAAAAAGATTAATATAAATTATGGGTTGATAGTATCATGCAGGGAAAGAGGGTGGCAGGAAGCAAATTCAGCAGTTTGTCTTCTGGAAAATAGACACTTTATGATAGGGCCATTTTGTGTTTAGGCAAGTCTTTCCCCAGATAGTGGCCATTATTTTTGAGCACCCATGACAGATCATATATCAGATGTGCCTACTTGCCCCAAAAGATTGTGGGAGCTCTTTTCAGGATTCTCCCTCTTAAGTAGCCCAACTAGATGCCCAAAGCTTTAGCAAGAGGGAAGGCAATCATCTCACGGTCTCTTAACTTCAGCTGATGTTCCTCCTTTTTTATAGTTCTTGGCTATTCTTCAAGCCATATTCATTTTTTTAGTATATTCTTAAGGAGGCTTTCATACCAGGCTGTCTTTTGCCTCTGATTTTGCTGGGGAAAGTCCAGTGGCCTCCTTTCACCTTGGCTGACCAAAGGATAGAAGTCAAAGATTGGCATTGTTGGACTTGCCAGGATTCATGTCCCAGAGGAGTCCCATTGCTTTTCCCTAAAGCTGCCACTCTTCGTTCTTCTTGTCCCTGTGACCTATTCAGTGGACCTCATTGCACGATCAAGTGGTGACAGAAGCAAGGAGAAGGAGCAGCCTTGGCCGTTTGTACTGTCCTCTCCCGCTAGGCCCAAACCATACAGCAAGGGTAGGTTGCTGAACTACACTTCCCTAAGAGGGATGGTCAGTGGTAAGGGATGCTCGGAGTTAAGTTCAGCAACGTCTAGACAATCCCAAGGACAACCTCCACAAGGAGGGGGCAAGTGAAGAGGTGGTGGTGGTGATAGTGGGGAACAAGTGGCAGGTCTATTTGGGAGGGGGTCCGTTATGGACATCATGCCAAGAAACCTACAAAAACCTGAAGCTAGTGATGACTGTCAGGAAGACAGTCCCATTTTTCATTTTCTGCATCATCTTTCCCCAGAGTGGATTCAGACTGATGCATAATACAAGTACCTTCTTCCCACCCCCTGTCCCTCTTGCTGATTAGAATGTTCATCTCCTTTGCAGAAATTCAGGATGATGAGGTGGTGGAATCTGTGGTCAGAAATCGGAAGTGTGAGCTCCCCCTGGAACATGTCCATACCCTGACAGAAGAATCATTCCACTCAATTCTGGCAGAGACCAGTCACACAGCAGTGCTCTTCTATGCCAGCTGTAAGTCAGAGTTTGCAAGGTGTTGTGCAGTGTGGTTTGCAGTGTTGTTTTGGTGTCTTCTGTTTGCTGTTCTGCTCTTTAGAATTCAGGTTTTTTTAGATGCAGGTTTGCTTGCTTTTCTATTGCAAGGTTGTGGCTGTTGTGGCATTATTGAAGCTATGCAGGTAAGGCCATTCTTCCTAATCATCCTGGCCAACCTCTGGTAGAAAGCCCAACTAAGAGCAGGAATTCACCGCCAAAAGATGAGAACTAGTATATAATGGGTGCTAAGATATTGGACTAGGACTGGGGAAACCAGGTTTCACATCTACCCTCAGTTATGGGAGCTCACTGAGTGACTCTGGGCCCATCACTATCTTTGAGCTCATCTACCATGAAGGGTGGCTGTTGCAAAACTTGGAGGATGAAGTGCTATGAATGCTGTTTTCAGCTCTTGAATGAAAGATGGGATATAAACCTGTCAAATAAATAATAATGATATAAAATATTTGGAAACTTTACAATGAAGAACAGAAATCTATGGAATATAGGTTGGTTATAAACCATTTAGCTCTGTTTGCCAAATGAAACCTCTACATTCAGAAGCAGTCACCTCTAAATACTACATCCTATGGTACAATAAGAGGAAAGGCTTTTTAGAAAGATGTGGAGTTAATTGCAGGGAAACAGGATGCTGAACTTATTGGAACTTTATTAGGATCCAGCAGGGCTCTTGTTTACCTGAGTTTGATCCTGCCTTTCGGTTCAGAAGAATCCCAGAAGTGTTATAAAAGTAAATAAAATGCAAGCATATTGGCTGTATCTCCTGGCATTGCTCTTGGGTTACATATCCTTCCATCCATCCTACCTCATTCCACAAAAACACATTTTTATGAGATCTCTGCTGCTGTTCCAGTCTTATGAGTGCTGGCAGTTGGACAATCCCCTTGTTTAGTTGCATGTTCTGTTCTAACTAGCCGGGCTCTTCACTCTCTAAGGCAGTATTTCTCAACCTTAACTCCTTTAAGATATGTGGACTTCAACTCCCAGAATGGCTGGCTGGGGAATTCTGGGAGTTGAAGTCCACATACCTTAAAGTTGCTAAAGCTGAGAAATACTGCTCTAAGGACAAAACAGAAGAAGCCAAAGGCAGGCCTATTCATTCATTCATTCATTCATTCATTCATTCATTCATTCATTCATTCATTCTATATCCCATTTTTCTATTAAGGGAAGCTAACTTAAAAAAAACCCAATAACATAACATTAAAACTAAAATTAATTAATGAATAAAAATTGGACAAAAATATATTTTCTAAACATGGAGAAAGCAAGAACCAAATGCATATTTATTTATTTACTAAACCAATTTATGTAGCCACCCATCTCACCACAGGCAATTCTGGGTGGCATACAACAAAGCTAAAAACAATCAATGAATACATTAAAAATATAAAAAGCAAAATAAAACAGAGAGAATAAAAAGATGTTAAAAATAAGGGAGCCACCTCACTAATTCCCCCATCCCTTGGGGTCCCCAGGCCTGCTGGCAAACCAAGTCTTAAGGGACCTCTGGAAGCTCAACAGTGGCTTCCAGTCTCGCCTCAGGGGGGAGAGGATTCCACAGCGCAGGCGCCACTGCAGAAAAGGGCCGCCGCCTGGGGCCTGCCAAATGTAGCTCCCCAGGCGATGGGACCCATAACATGCCCTCTATGATGAATCTGGTAGGACGGGCAGATGATATCCTGAGGGAGTGCATTTCATAGCCTGGGGACAATGAGAAAAAGGCCGTCTTTGATATACCAGAGAGGTAGTCCTCTACCTGCTGATTTTAACAGCCAAACTTATCCAGGAAGAGGGAATCCCTATTTGTTTATACATACATACATATACATACATGATACATACATACAGTATAACTGTATAGGACCCCGACTCCCAACAACTCTGGGTGGCTTGCAATTAAAAATAATTTTTAAAAAGAAAATACAGTGATGATAGCTGACCCCAAGTCAAAGGATGAACTCATCCAGGCGGTTTCATCTAGATGTTGAACAGAAGGGGCCACAGCGTTGAGCCCTGAGGCACCCCACAAGTGAGAGGTCATGAACTCAATCTCTCCTCCCTTTTAACACTGACTGAAACCAGCCACAAAGAAAGGAGAACCATCAGAAATGGTGCCCCCCCACTCCAAACCTCTCAGCCACTCCAGAAGGGTAATGTGATTGATGGTATTTGTCAGCTCTACAAGGTAGACCAGACTAGGAAATCAAAATTACACATGCTAATACCACTTTTATTAAAAGGTTATAGTAACAGAATCTTGCAAGTCTGAATGTGCTTCCCCTCTCCCTCCCTTTATCTTTGTAAGAACTAGGGAGGGTCTTGTCTGAGATGCTTACTTGGATATAGATCTGCCTCAGATTCAGATTTCTTTTAGTTTCTGGAAACTGTTGTCTTGGTTACAGCTGTTTTTCGTGTTCCTCAAGGTTATTCCTTCTTCCCATTTCATTATCAAAAGTCACTCAGAGATCAAGGAGCACAAGGATGGATGCACTATCCTAATCCCAGCTCCACCATAGGTCATCAACAAATGCGACCAGTACTATGTCCATAATGAAACCTGATTGAAACACGTTCAGATAATCCGTCTTCTCCAGGATCCTCTGGAGCCAAAGCCCAACCACATTTTCAACTTATTTAGGGAAGGTTTGGTGAAAACTGTCCAGGCTTGTTGAGTCCAGCAATGGCCTCTTGAAGAGAGGGCACACCGCAGCCTCCTTCGCAGCTGAAAGGACAACCCTCTCCCCCAAAGAAGGAGATTATCACTGCATGGACCCAACCATAGGTCACCTCCTGGCAAGCCTTGATCAACCAGGAAGGACCTGGATCGAACAAACAGGTGGCTGAGCTCACAGTCTGGAGGACCCTGTCAGCTTCCTCAGGTGTCACAGGCACAAACCACTCCAGATAACCCTACAAGTCTCTGTCTTAGGCAACTTGCCCAGTTGGAGTCCAAATCCGAATGACCATCTGCCATGTAGCAAGAATAGTCCTCACCATAGCCCAGTAGATGTTCCTATGGCTTGTGTCTCCCCAGCAAGGAATGAGTTACCTTAAACATTGTTTGAACTGGGCAGCCTTATAAATCTAGTTAATGAATAACATCTAATTAATAAATATGGCCACTGGGCAGCTATTGGCAGATGCAATAACGGTGGAGAAATAACAATGTTTCACTGCCCTTATCACCAGTGTAATCTGAAATATGAACTCTTCCTCATGTTTGGTCAGATTTGCACTTTGTCTTTCTCCAACACTGATTGAGGTGTCTGTTCTGGCGCTTCATCTCCCAGAGCTCCTTGAAGAACCAAGGTGCAACCCAAGATCAGCACACATGGAGAGGCCAGATAAAAGTAATCTGTCCTGGGCCCCAGCCACCTGCCTCTTCCAGGCATGATTAAGGCCTCAGCTGAATTGCCCACCAGATCTTCAGGGAAAATCTCAAACTCCTTCTGGAACCCAACTGGGTCCATCAGTCTAGCATTAGAGGTTTAGAGCCATGTAGTCTGTCCATCAGCTATTTAAGGCTTTAGAGATTAATACCAGCATCTTAAATTGTGCCCAATAAGCTACTGGCAACTGGTGCAAATCTTTCAGTACAGGCATCAAATGATCTGTGACTTTGCACCAGTTAACAACCTACTTGCTGCAATTTTCACTAGCTGGAATTTCTGGATACTTTGTCTTATATAAAACATGTTGTCAAAAAAAAGTTGAGTTTTATTGGTATGGACTTTGAATTCCTTTATGTCCTGAGTTTTGACTGACTCCAGATGCTCTGGTATCTGAAATAATGGGTTACTTTTTCTGTTCGCATTACAGGGGAAGCTGTCTCTCTGGTGGTGATGCAGTCTTTCCTTGAAGTTGCTGCTCGCTTGAAAGGTGTGGATCAGTCAACATAGTTACTGTGGCCTGTTTATTTCTTTAAAGGGCATGATCTTTCATTTAATGCAGTGTCGTTGTTTCAAATGATTAATTCAGGCATAAAGTTATCTTCGTAAGTGGGAAAGCTGGTGGAAAGGTGAGGCGCCTAGTGGCACAAGTGGAGAAGCTGATAGCTTCCCTCGGTGATTTACTCCACGTTCAGGAAAGTAGTATCTCTGAAGTTTCTGTATTGGCCAACAGTCCCAGATTAATTTTCTAGCATCCCAATATTTCCCAGTCTAGAATAATTATGGGCAATACTGTGAATAGACCAATTAGAACGTTCTTGAATTTATTGTTCTCACCAAGTTTCTAATATCATGTAGGAAACTAGTATCAGATAGTTTCAGTAGGCTGATTGCCCTGGAAAACTCTGTCTAGTTCTGGGTGCTGGATGTAGAGATATAAATAAGTGGGGAAAAATGGAAATTTGGGACAATGCCTCATGATGCCTCTGCTCCAAATTAAATATTATTTTACTGTGAGAATAAAGAATCCAAAATCCATTGGGGCAATACCTTTATTTGGCCAAGTGAAATTGTACAAAATTGCTGCAAGCTTTTGAGTTGCTAGAGCTTTCTTCAACCATGTTCTTGAAATTCAAGGTGTATTTTCTACTGACTTTCTAAAGTTATACATATTAGTTGCAAGTGTTCATCAGCTGTCAGGGCTGGAGATGACCTTATCACTTATCTAATCCAGCTTCCATTTTAATCCAGGAAACTCAGAGCTGGAGAATCCCAAATAAATGTTTGTCCAACTTCTGCTTGAAAGCCTCCAGTAAAGAAAATCCCGTCACATTTCTGTCTCCCAGTTTGACACTCTTCCAGCACTGTGAGAGACACCACAACTTGCTAACCTAAAATGTGGAGGTCTGAAAAAACTGGAAAAAATAGGGGGTGAGGGGGTTTCACTTTTTTTTTTTTAACGAACAAAAATATTATGAAATATTTCCTATTTTATACATGAAATTTTAAAAAATGGTCTGTTTAGAAATATGTTGGCTGGGAATTCTGACAGTCTCAGTCAAAGATATCTAAGGGTGCTATGTGCTGTGTTACGGAAGATGTTTAGTCTTCAGGAATGACTTCTCTTTGGATTTGTTAAACAATAGCCAGGCCATCTTCTAAACGACCATGTTTATACTATTTACTTCCCAGAACTCCTATGTCTACTTTTTACATTCCTGGCAGACTTTGACATCACTAAGTGGAATTGCAGTACATTGCTGAGAGTAGGTCCTGCGTACCTATTGTTTGACAATAGGCAGAGAAGCAGCAAGTGGACCAGCTGCATGCAAACACCCTGCCAAAGAAAAAGGCTGGAAACAATAAATAGATGTGTGGTCTGTTGCTCTCAGTTGACCAACTTCACTTCTGAATGCAGCTGCAACAAAGAGTGATGATGGGGGTGGTAGGAGGCCTGGTCTTTTCTAAGGTATCCATGAATCTAAAAGAGAAGAAAGAATAAAGCAGCCACTTATTTACAAACATATAATGGCTCAGTTTTAAGTGACACTCTTGTTTAGGAAGATAATCTGCACAACTTTGGCTACTCAGATGGTTGCAAAGTATCTGCCAAATGCAAGAGGCACTTTTAAAAATCCATCAAACTCTAATGTACTTTTCTTTACGCTATTTAAATCTGCCTTGTTTTAAATGTTAAGGTGTGTGTGTGTGTGTGTGTTTATTCCAGTATTTTACATTGATTTGTAATGACTCCTTGTTCCTGGCATTAAATATTTTTGGCCAGCAACTCTGCACTAGAAGAACAGCCTTGCTACTGCCGAGTGATTTATAGTAATGTAAGTCAACTTTTCAGTAGGTTTGACTATTGATTCAAAGAGTGGCATTTTAAAAAAGGTCTTAGTATTCATTTTACTCAGTGGGTAGTTCTAAAATGTGTTGCAAATTCTTGGGCTAAGCCTTGGAACAAATGTACCTAAGAAAATAATTGCCTTTGGCAGAATATAGTTCCTATATTCCTATGCAGTTGCAGTTGTTTCTTTTCTACCACGGGCTGGCAATCTTTGTTTCTCAACTGCCATCACTTGATCTCAAATGATGGCCCAGCATGCCAAATAAATAAATAAAACCTGAAGTCACCAAGAAATTTCTGTGACCATAAAATCTCATGAGCTCTTGTGCAAGAATGGCAAAATCTCATGATCTCATCCAAGTACAGCAAAATGTCATGAGAGTTGTATATCTTCTGGGATCTTAGCCGTCTTAAAAATATATTTATTTTTGTTTAATTTGGGGGTGCTGCTGCACTGGTTTAGGATATTACAGAAGATCTAGCATCTGTGGGTGCCATGGGTCTGACTCTTGTTGTCTGCCTACAGTTGAGAAACAGAAGCATATAGGCACATTCCCCAGCACCCCATTTGCAGTCCTCCAATATGTGCAAATTTAGGTACTGAAACTCTGTGGCAAAATGACCAAATTAGACAGCATGATTTTGGCCCATTTGAAGAAGAGTTTAATATGAAGATGGGACTGCTTTGCTCCAGAAGCCTCTTACTCTCATTCCCACCCTAATCCTGCCCAATTTTTTTAAAAAATGGTCCAACTCCCTCTGGTGATAACATAGCATTAACAGATGACTGCCTGTGGTGCTCCAGAAGATTGGTAGCTTCTAAGCAGGCTTAAATTTTAATGTTGCTCTTTTTAGAAATGGTTAAAAACACACAAATCTACTTTAGAGTTGATTTATTTAAATCTCTTGGCCTTCCCACTCCCTGGCCACCACCATAAATATTTGGATGTTAGTTTCCTACTTTTCATTTCAAATGAAGGATAAACTTTCCTTTTCTCAGAAACTCTTTGTTTGATCAAGCTGCTGTTGTGCTCTTTCCTAATTTGTTTGATTGTTAATTACTGTCTGTTATTATAACTTGCTTTCTGACTGAACTTTATGGCAGAGACTGAAAGAAACATACAACGAAACTTATCTATCCAAAGGAGTGTTGAGAGTGTGTTTCCCTGAGAACAGTGATTTCTTCTTACGTCACATGAAATTTAATTCTGAACATTTAATCCAACTATTAAAAGCAGCCCATAATGGAATCACAGGGATCAAAGGTGGATTTTCTTTAAAAAGAGAGTAAAAAATCCTATTGAGCATGTCCAAGATTTTCATTATGGTGAGAGTAAACTTAAGTATGCCACACATTACATAATATATGGAATTTGATACCAGAACATATAGCAGTGATCCAAAATTCTAAGAACTGTATGGATCTTCCAGGTTTAGTAATAGTGTATTTCTGTAAAACAGTTATTGAAGAGTAATAGCAGGAAAGAGCCACTGTTTTCATATATTTCTCATGGATGCTGGACTAGATGGTCTTTGATCAGATCCAGTAAAGTTCCTGTGAATTTCTGGCCAATATGTTTTGATTCTTCTTTTTGAGGTATCAAAAAAGCCTTTGGGTCAAGTCAATTGAAGAATCAGTGAATACAAAGCTAGAGCAAAAGTTGTCAATAGAATAGATTCTAAGATTTTAAAAAAAGTTTCATGAGCCTTACACAAAGAACCAGTAACATTGGCATCACTTCCTTTTTGTTGTTTCTCCCACACATTTTCTGTAGGGACTCCTGAGATTTCACTTGCAAGAGTAAATTGCTGGGATTGGCCACAGCTCTGTTTGCAGGAAAATATCACCCAGTTTCCTGCCATGAAGATGTATGCAAAAGAGAGGACATGGCTGGCTTACTCTGGGATGTGGGAGACCAAGGAGATGATGAACTTCATTGAGCTGTAAGTACTACATTGCTGGTTAAGAGCTGCCTTAGGGCAAATGTTCTTGATCCTGGTGCCCTCTAGATGTGTTTGGACTGCAACTCTCATTATCCCCAGATTGTGTAATCAAAATCATGGAGTACACCCAAACCTGGGAAGAAATTGAAAGGATATGGATAACACTTGAGGGAAGAACTGGCTGGGAAGTGGTTGAGAAATGTGAAATTCAGTCTGTTACATTTATTTGTTTTAGTTTGCGGTTCTTTCTTACATTTATATCTCAGCTTTTTTCTTGAGACCACAATTGTACCCACATAATAACAGTCCTGTGAGGTAGGCCCAAGTGAGCTCCCTGGTCAAATGGAGAGTCAAACCTAAGTCTTCTTGTCCCAAATCTAGCACCTTAACCGCTACACCGTGCTGGCTTTCAGTAAGAAGAATTCAGAAAGACTGAATCTGAGGCAGCTTTGCCTTTGGAGCACATGTCACAGCTGAAGCAAACATATAAGATCTGCGCGTGCCATTCAAATTAGGTGAGAGAACAGGATGTGCATTCATATATTTCTCCATGACACTCTGAAATTGTTTTGGAAAATGCTGGAGATGTGGAATATACAGGGAATGGAGTTGTCCTGCAGCTAGGAAACAGAATTCCGTGAAGGCAAAATAAAATAAAACTGTACCTTGTAAATCGGCCTGAAGTCTGGTTTCAATTTACATCTTTAGAAGCAGAAATTCTTGTCCAGTGAGATTGATGACGCCTGAAGAAGTAGAAGAATATTTAAGTGACAAAACCTCGTCACACCGCATGGTTTCTGTTCTGGGAATATTTGACTCAAGGATGAGTGAAGGTAAATCCATTCCCTGGTTATTTCAAACATTATTGCAAAACACAGATGTTGCTGAAAGTAACAATACTTTGTAATGCCTTGTGACTGTAGAACAAAGTTTATGCCGGGATCTTTCACAAGAAACCTCTAGGCAGGGCAGCGGCCCTATTATGCAAGATTACTGCTTCACTTTGGGGGCCAGGTTCAGGGGGGAGAACTTTTTTCTTCCTCCTAATACTACAATTTGGGTTGCCCAGTGAAGTGAGTGGCCAGAGAGTCAAGAGTGAATTTAAAAAGTATGTAAACAGCCTTCAGAGGATTTTGTTTAAAAACAAGCATAACATTCCCTCTCTCTCTCTGTCACACACACACACACACAAAACACAAACTGGGGATGCCATTTGGAAAATATTGGAAAAATTCAGAAAAGATTGGGGGACAGGTACCAGTTGTTCTCTGACTTGGAAAACCTGTAATTGCTCGTGCCCCACTTCTTATTTTCTTCTCCTTTTTTTCTTGTTGGATTGATAACAGCACAGATGATGTTGAATCTCAATCCTATGCTTTGAGTACAGGTAGTCCTTTGGTTATGATGGCAAGTGGGACTGGGAACTCCGTCACTAAGCGATGTGGTCATAAAGCACAGTGTCATGTGACCACACTGCTTGGTGATGGCAATTATGACAGTCCTGATTGCCATTGTTAAATGAGGACCATGTGGGTCATTAAGTGAGGACCTCACATGATTGCAACTTCTGACTTCCTGCCAGCTTCCCTGCTGACTTTGCTTGTGGGAAGCTGGCAGGGAACATCAGAAAGTACAATCACGTGACTGCGGGGACACAGCGATGGCCAGAACTGTGAGGACCTGTCGTAAGTCCCCTCATTCAGCATCATCATAACTTTGAACAGTTGCTGAAAAATAGTTGTAACCTGAGGACTACCTGTAAGATATTCCTTCAGAGCAGCCTCCCCAGCCTGACCTCATCAGAAGCATTGAAACAGAAACTCCCAAAATTTGCTAGCTGGGAATCTTGGGAGATGCAGTTCCTAAGATATGGCGATGGTGGATGTGTTGGCTGCCGGAGGGAGGCGGATCAAGAAGG